TCATGCACCCCTCCTCGTCCCCCTCCTCCTCCATGTACAGCCCCTACGCCCCCTCAAAGCTCTCCCCCGCCCACCTCTACGTCCGCCAACCACACGCCATCCAGATCATCCAGCTCGTAGAGGGCCCCCCGCCCCCACCACGCCGCATCTCTTCAGTCGTCTACTCCAGCTCAGCTGGCTCCTCCTCCTCCTCCTCCTCCTACCCATCCACCTCCGACCCAGACTCGGAACACAGCGAGGACTGCTCCTCCTACTGCTCCTCCTACATGACCCCAGAGCACTCCTCAGAGGACCGCGAGATCGCCCCCACTTCAGACGACACCTTTGCCATCCGCATGAAACGCGTCTGCGACTGGAGAGAAAACCTCACAAAGGCTATGGGCGCATCCCCTGGTACGTCTCACGTCTACACCCCAGCCCGTCCCCCTTCTCACATACACCCGCGTTTCTCTCCAGGCCCTTCACCGTCATCATCGCCATTAAAGCGGAAAACGTATCCCTGTGAGACTGATAACGATAATGTGCGCCCAGTCTTCCATCCTCATAACGTAACTTCGTAACTCATATCTTCTCCCAGCTCTCACAGTCTTCGAAGCGCTCTCGTTCACGAGACGAACAAAGCCCATCACCAACTCTTTCCGTACATTCTTGTGCGGCATGCGATGCGTCGTTTCCATCACGGCAAAGTTTGCGCCAACATGGCCGAACCTCCCAAGCCAGCGACGCTTGCCGAATAGCTGTCGAATATGATTTCGAGTGACCTTCATCCCGTCTCGGCCGTTCACAGCCTATCTCCTTGCCCTCTCGCCCTTTGCTCACGCTGCGCCCCCTACGACGATCATGACTTATACCATTCAAATTGTTGTACTATAACCCACGATAATTTGGCATTGACCCTTTATTATAGTACATACATTTCCGATACTGTGTTCTACTAGTACCAGCCGATGGAGTTCAGATGATGATCGCTTATGTACATTATCTGATTACCAGTAACTTGTAATTATACCATATTAATCGATTGCATTTCCGGTCTGACTAACACCCTGAACTTCGACCTTGGCCCCCACTGACTCTCATAATCCCGTGGTCCGTAAGCATTGAATGTCACCACGATTCGTCGCCGTGTCACTTGTCAGAGGCAAACTTGAACCATGTCTGACATGACCTCCGCTACACCGCACTCCTCGCAGAGACGCCTCACAAAGGCAATGCCCACAGGCACGCGCAATCATATGGATATGTGCTCTGGGAATTTTTCGTATACAGGCTCTGCCGAAGTCGTAGTGTGGGCCTTCAGTTCGGCTCCTGGGCCCGCAATGCCGACCATCCCTGTCTACAGCCTCCCACGTCGAGGACGGATACTTAGCAAGTCTGAGCAGACATCGTGTCTTTTCCTCCTCTTGATGCGCCCCGGTGATCAGATATTGACTATTTACTGAAACCGTCGCCAGCATGACTGAAACACCGGGGCCGACGTGGGGATGGCACGCGCTTGGGCCCCCTACGCCCGTTTGTCAATCCTCGAGTCGACCTTACCCCACAAGGAAACCGGGTTTATGCCGCCCGTAGACAGGCAGAGATCATCTTCGGATATGCTCGAGGGAAACATATTGCGTACAGCTGTGTCAGCCACACTGCGGGATCTCCATGAGTCCATCCCCTTTCTCTCGCCTTCCCTGCATCCCGTCTTCTTTCACCCGGTGAGTAACCGCCAGCGGAGGAGAGTAGTTGAACGGTGTCGTCCCACCGCCCCTTTGGCTACTACCCACGACGATCAAGGACATCACTTTGAGTTTTACTTATCTTCCGTACGCGGACCCATTGGTGGAGTAAACATGTGTGCGTCAAGCCCCTCAGGCGGTGGGAGCGCAAAAATTCAAAATATTGCATCAATTCATTTGCCTGATATCGATGGACCAGCCGCCCACCTCGATTACATCGATAACCTGATATCAGTAAACAAACAGACGCTCCATCAAGTACATAATCTCAAAGGTCCCCGTCGGTATAGAAGGTCAGAACTCGCACTCGAGGCTCATCTTGTGTGAGAAGATTTAAATAGTATCGTTACTGCGCTCCTATTCCACCACCGCCCGGTGAGAAAGTTCGCTCAATACCATCACTACTCTGCGATCAGCCACGCAACTGATGGCTGGCGCGATGCTGGTCAGCATCTTTGACATGGTGTAATGTCATCTCGTCATCTTGTGTACCTTCCGAGTGTGATCACTTATTTGAAGAACTTCCTTAGACCCAGATTTCTATTCATTGTCGAGTCTTCGCATTCCCATGCTGCAAGCCGTCAATCCTATTCAGGCGTTATGCAGTAGTTATACTTACCAGCGGAAGAGAACGGAAGAGACCTGCTATCAATCAACTCGATGATTTGGCTATGACTTGTCCTTTTTTACTGGCGAAGCACTGGGAAGAATAGCAAGGCCATCAAGTCACTTTTCAAGTTTGCCGAAGATCCCTTTCGAAATAACAACGTAAGTAGTACAAAGGCATCTTATGTTAGAACAAGACTAAACATATCGTGATCGCACCGTTTCCATCACAAACAAAGGTATCTGTGAATGAAACGGCTTTCAAAAAGCTATGGGAATCTTGTCTTCTACTATGTGCCGTTTGTTCTACACTCTTCTTTTACTTAGCCTCACGTCCAAGCGCTTTCACTCTATTTTTGTCAACCCGTAGGAAAATAATGCACTGGTAACCTCTCCTCCGTTTTCTATTGTTAACAGCCGAACAGGTGTAAATTTGAACACCTAACCGCCGGACCGAACAATTCTTGGAGCTAGAAATGCCTTTGCCATCGACAGCAGGAAAGTTCACCTTCGTGCTTCAAATGCCCGCCTTCGGAGAGCAGAGTTCTTCTTCTGGAACCACCGTGTCCATCGTGGCCTTGCTTCCCCTCCATATGGTTTGGGCGTGGACAATGAACCTTGAATTCACGATGGAGAAACAGCCCCATATCCCATCGTGGATCATATCGATGCCATCAAAGTCGCGATCGTGAAAGCTGTTGGATAGCTTGTTGTGTGAATGGTGAGGAGCGGAGATGATGTTATCCCGTCGATAATTTCATCAATAGGCCGAGTCGTGCGTGTCCATTTCGATGTGAGAATCGTCAGAACAGTACCCTCATATTAATCGGGCCTCGAGGCATACCAGCGGGCAGGGCTGAAAGGCCGCTGGGCATCGGTGCGCCGGGAAGCTTCGGAATGCCAATGCGGACTGCCATTGTCACGGAGGACCGCAAAGAGAAAGGTAAAGGGGCTGCGTGTAAATTTGGATTTACTTCGGGACCGTGTACGCTGGGGCTGGAGGGGGGTCTATCATGATTTCGACTTCCACGATCCCAAGCTCTCAAGCTGTTAGACCCGATGAGGCTTGTTCCCCTCGGGATTGCGCGAACCATCAGTTGAACAAGATTGACAACTCAAGATCATTATCCTACGTTACTGGAATAGACATTGATAGGAAATTTTCCTTCACAATGTGATGAGTCTTTAGTTTACATCGTTTTTGCACTACATGATATGATTGGTTCAGGTAGTATAATCAATAGGAGTTGATCGAGCTAACACCCTATCTCTTGCATCTTCAAGACGGGGCCACGAGGGGCTGGAGCATTCCCAGACGAGGTGGGTGCAGCTGTGCCATTGCCAGATCTAAATAAGAACACTCAGTAGCACAGCCCTGGTCAGGTGGGTGTGTATCGTTGGCGATGGCATCATGTCTTCGAGGCTGGGCTTGGAAATTGAAAGTCATCGACACCGGCTTAGTGAGTACCCGGTGTACAGCTATTTCTTTAAACGAAAACCCGTGAATATCTTTCTAAAGCGTTCTCACCTTGAAGAGTTCTTCAGTCTCCAGCGTTCTACCAATGGTTAGTACCAAACCTGTACTAGTACAACTTGGCTGCTCCACCACCGTGGGTTTTGGACCACTGCAAGTGTAAAAAACGTTCCCATGGGTGTTGTTTCAGCGCACAAGTGCTCACGCATATTACTTAAGAGAGTGACACTCCCCAGGAATTAGATTGGTCCAACCACGCACCAAGGTGAGCAGTTTTGCGAGTTGTTCTAGGACAGTCACGTTCGACTTGTATCATTATATTATAGGTGCCTTCACACTGTGGTTGGGTATAAATGTTAAATACCAAGGTCTTACGTGCTACTTCGGTTTTGCTTGGACGCCGCTTTTGGCGGCATGACGAGACCCTGCCAATTGTAAGTTTTCGAGAAGAACTTCTATGGTGGGTCAGTAATCATGCTGAGAACTTGTATTCGTGGTATTACTCCAACACGAATGACAGGAAAGTAGGTCATCAATGCGTCCAACGTCACCTGTACATATAGGGGAGCACAATCAGAATTCTCAAATCAGCTTGTCGACAACCTGATTCGACACATGACGCACGATTGTTCTTTCATTTTATAATGGGGCACGTTCTTTTTCCCTTGACAGTTTTTCACGTTGGTTGGAGTGTCCCAGCTGGAGTCGATATCCAGACCCAGTGACCTGTCTTCATAGTAGAGTTGAGCGACCATCACACTGAAGTCGAACAAAGGAAAGTGATGATTATAGAATATGCCTTTTTTGGCTACACTCCCCAGTCCGGACGCATGGAGCCCCGAGGTCGAAGGACTCGTGCGACTAAAAGTGGCTATCCCCTATGCCCTCAGAACAGTGTCAGTTGGGGGTAGATACGTGTAAACCCTCTTGTTTTCGCTGATACAATCAATTTGAGTGACATTGTAGAAGTACGAAGTAATGACCCCACTTATCTGACTAGCACATTTTGTCTACCCGGTGTTCATGTTTTTTTTGTTGTTGTCATGTCACGAGTTAACCCAATATCTTTGCTCTGAATATGGCGGAAAGTAGAATATGCCGATGGTGCAGAGTACACGTGTTTTCAAAGCTCTCATTCAAGTGGTTTAATGCAGGCACATCGCGGCTGATTGGTTTGTCCTGATAGCTGCTCACCACGACTCGGCCAATATTATCGACTCTGGTTCAATCCTAGTGCAACTTCACATCCGTGGTAGAAAGACGCGTCATTCCATCGTCATCCGGGCCCTAGTCCTAGTTATATAGCATATCAAGTCCGAATCAGCTCGGATCACTCTTTCTCTGGCTGTAGGAACGAGAATCAGAAGCAGGTATTTATGCCTACAATACCCAGAAGCAAGGCTTGAGGGCTCGGAACTCGTGCCGCAGCCACCGTTGACGCAAATAGGAGTGTACAGGAACTGAGGCTTGAGGAAATGCGAGGAGATAGCGACGTCGGCCCATCGCCATAGAAAATCTTGAACGGTTGATTCCTGGAGACTTTTTTCAGCGAGTCTGACTATATAATTCAATTCGGCGGTGAGAAATGGTTCAAGGGACTCACTAGTAGATAAGCCCATTAGTAGCAACTCATTTCTAATCGATGCAACATGAAACAATTTACTAAGTCATGTGCATTTGCAATTTCACAACGGGGCCCACGGGCCTACTTCGTTCGTAAATCATCAGAGTCAAAACGTCGCTCGAAAACATATACACATTTGATTCTTTCCATGGCGAAGTTGACGGTTGATACGGGACCGAGAGAAAATCGAAACAACGCGACCCTCGCTGAACTCCCATGCGGAGCAAAATTAGACTTCGGACGAGATGTTTTCCTGAGCACCTGCCAAGGTAAATGTAGACCTAGTCAACGGACCGAACATAATCATGTATATCAGTTTGGTGGGTAGTGGGAACTGCGAAAACTGATCGGGAGTCCCTAGACCAGATGCAGTTCTGTAAAAAGACCTAATTAGAGCATATGCGGCAGAAACCTCTTGTACAGAATAAACAATAGTCCAGGGATGCCCCAAGGTACGCACGGTCCATTCGTGGAAGCCCCTGTATCGTTGAGCTGTTGCCCACGCTTGAACAAACTTTATTATGAGCTACACCTTAACAAGGACACAGGATACGCACGTTCGAGATGTGTATGAAGGTTTGTGTGAAGATTTTGTGCCCCCACCAGAAGTTCGGTTGGGTTCTATGCAGTTTGAAAGGTCAGCAAGTATGTAATCAGTGTACAGACTAGTAATTTAGAGCGACGTGTTCCAGTCGCAAAGAAGCACGGTTTGATATATGTGCACGGCGGTTTCCACAGTAATATCTACGCTCGACGCCACATATATGCATAAGTGCCATTCCAGTGACTGGCCGACTTGTCGTTGACCATGTTGTTTCTATTGCTATGATGCTGATGCCACAACTGTGTGGATTTGGCTTGGTTGAGATTCCACGAGCGACGATTCTTGCCTAGCCCAACTATCATCGAGTGATACTGCCTGTGAATATAATCTGATCTAACATCGTTACTCGCACTTGCACTGATCCGGGGCTCAGGTGACAAGGGACGGCTCAATCTCATACTGAGCGTTTGTAGACTCTTCCATGTTGGATACACCAGAGTCATGCTCACACTGAGAGTCGCAATGGCTAGGGATTAGCTTAGAGAATCAACGGATTTCACTCACCGCATTTCTGACGGAATAGGTGAAAGGCAGTAACCCAGCGAAGATCAGGACCATTATCTATCATAATCCTGGACAAAAAAAGATCAATCGAGATCTGATACTCATCGTTAATTGCTGCAGCTGCAGAAAGCCCTTGCATGCTTGAGGAGCGGAAAAACACAGTTTCTCTACTAATGAGAGAAAGTTGATATCCTCCCACAAAGTAGTATGTACCGTGTAGGTTTCTGGGGATAAGTAGTTAGCAGTGAGTGCCAGTGAGATCTAAGACGGTGGCTGAAAACCTCTGCAAACATATTCCATGCCGTAATGGGAATTATCCGTGGTTGCTGCGGTTTTCACTCCCTGGAATATTATCATCGTCGCTAGAGATTGTGGCTCAGGCAGCTGGGCATAGTTATTTCGTTTCACCATGAATTTAGGTCAACGACACTCAAAACCGACCTCAGACAATCCAATACTACCACTAAAAAACTCGGATATCTGGCCACCCTCTCGTCTGTCCCTCACGAAACGCTACACCCGAGTTGTCGTCGTCGTGATTGGAGCGCTTGGGCTCCTCTTCTTTTTCTATGGCCGGGAAGCGGGAAAAATTGAAATACCTTCTATACGATCTGGCACGGTTCCTCCTCTGTACGAGAAGTATCATGAATATGAGCGACATCTACCACAGCATAACCTTTCTCTACCTTTTCCTGAGGGTCGGGATGCGAAGTTCTTTTGGGCAGCAAATCACGTCACTGGTGTGTACTCAGTTCATGTCTAAGAAGTATCCTGATTCTCGTCCAGGCTCTGGATGGGGCAATGCTATGCAGGAACTCATCGTGAATGCTCATCTCGCGCGCGTCACAAAACGCGCGTAAGTCTATACCATATTCTTTCTCGATTTGTGTCCTTAGTATCTTGTAGGTTCGTTTTTGATAACTTTACATGGGACCAGGACGGTCCCGACTACTCCGAGTATAACGGAAAGCTTATTCCTTCTCGAATACCTCTCTCCGCTATGATCAGTGGTAAATCTGTCTCTCGTTATATAATGATCACATCTCAATACTACTTTTCTGTAACCCAGGCCCCATAATTGGCGCTACGTCACCACCAGGGGACGACGTCCCACGTTCAGTCTCAAGAGAGTATTTTAAGAAGGTCTGCCCCAACCCCACAATCATAGACAGCGCTGTGATAAACGAAGAATTACGGACGAATTCTAATGTGCCTGCATCGTACATATTCGACAAGTGGGTAGAGAAACTGAACTCAATAGATGATCCGTGCGTAGAGATTCAGCGGGGATCATACCAGCTATTTGAAATTTGGTACAACTTCTTCCCCTGTTCGATATTGCTAGCGTTCTCATGTCAAACCCCAGGATATTTGGTTCCAGACGGATCCTGTCTCTCTGGCCCACACTCTCTAAATCGCCCATGCTGTTGCAGTTCTCCTGGTCACCCCTAATCCTTAACGCCTTCACTGAGAACGAGCACCTGATCAGCTCCAAACCTAGTTCCTCCCGTTTTCCTTACTTCACTGAGACATATCCCACTCTGCCTCCTCCTGAGACTCATGACTTAACGCCACTTCTCACACCTCCTCACATTGACCCCATTCGTGGACTACTTGTCCTTCACATACGACGTGGAGATTTTCAGGGCCACTGTCAGCATCTCGCTAATTGGTCAGCGGACTGGAATGGACTTAATGCCTTTCCATCATTACCTGACAAATTCGATAGACCGACTGATGGAGGGTGGGGTGAAACCAGCGATGAGAACATGCAAATGTACCTCAAAAAGTGTTTCCCGAGCATTGAACAAATTGTTGAAAAAATTCAAGAAGTACTGGCCGACCAGGACAGGCTGTATGGTAAAGCCAGAGAGCTGAAGAGAATTTACATAATGACAAATGGAGCCATGGAATGGGTAAACGAGCTCAGGAGTGCCCTCATGAATATCAAAAAATGGGAGTCTGTGGTGAGCAGCAGAGAGCTCCAACTCAGCTGGGAAGCCAAGTACGTGGCCCAGACCGTAGACATGTTGATAGGACAACGTGCACAAGTTTTCATTGGGAATGGCGTAAGTCTCTTCCCTTCACGAGTGTCCGCGGGCCTGAGAGTTCTTGCTACCAGTTTTCAAGCTTGACCTCCAATATTGTCATGTTCCGAATGCTAAGGGAACTCCCACACGATGACACGAGGTTTTGGTGAATTTTATGGCATAACCCCTTTCATTTACAATATCATGCACACTATTATCCATCAAGTAGCACTACCTCACCCTTGCCAACCGCTTCAAAGTTTCACCGGGTCGACTCATAAAACACATGCATTAGTCTCCAATTCATCCTCTTCCGTCGCCCTCTTACTTGAAACATTGAAACATTTCTGACCAATCTGGCCTTTGACACTCATGGCACTACAATCGGTAATCACGCCGCATACCTTCACATTCATTTCATGCTGTTGGCCACGAACTCTTACTCAGCGTATATCCACTTTGCTTATAACGTGTTAGCTTGCATTTCAATAATTTTCCCTCGTATGTGCCATTTTTTTCTTTCTCGTAAAATATGGTTTTCTTCAAGGTTTTCTTCACTTTATATAAAGACTGTGCTGGGAAGGGCAGCGAACTCCCGGAACTGTTCAAGTGGTTCTGACAATGCATGGTTACAGTATTACAGGAAAACGGGGTGATCGAAGAAAATGTGTAGGTTTGTCTAACTTCGCAGATCATTAAATCGGCCACATTTGTTTTGATGTAAGGCGGGAATTAGGCATTACTCCTGAGAGGCCAGCTCAAGGTCTTACATTTCCTTCGACGTGAGTACGTGTGAGTTACAGTACTGGCTTGGGACGCCATGGTTTAGGCTCTCAGACTGGTTGTTCGCACGGTCCTTGCAATAGTCGGTCAACTATTCCAGTCATACATTTTACTGGCACTGACCAAACATTCAGCTATTCCTAGACAGGTTCCCACCAGCTGACTGGTTCCCCCGGCCTACACCGTGACTGGCCCTCACAGGTGGATCGGCAATAATCCCGGAGTGCTTGGGAAAGTATAAAGCATGAGTTGGGGAAAGACTGCAGTCGTCTTCGAAAACAATGACTCCCCGTGTTCCCCTCATCTTCGTATGCGACCTTGCGTACTTATTATGCTGATTCCGATTCTAACTCATGTCTTCTAGGGTGCAGCAGCTTTTGGAGCACCGAACGCCTTGGCAGCTCGCATTCACGATCTGTCTGATTGCCAGGAAGTTGTTCATTATTTTCTCAGTCAGGGACATCAAGTCTTCGACACCTCTAGATACTATGGAAATGGCACTTCAGAGGAGGTAGAGGATACCTGTGTTTTTGCGCATATTAGATATTGATTCATTTGTAATACTAGTATCTTGCAAAACTGGATCTCCAAGGCGCCGCAGTAGACACTAAGTTGGTCGGATATCAAGCTCCTCTCTTTTCTCTAACGCTATTCTCTTAGGTCTTTTCCCGAGGCTCCCGGGGACCACTCACCAGAGAAGCTCAGAGCTACCGTGAAGAAATCTGTTGAAGTGCTCTTCCCGCACAAAATACGAGTGTTTTTCCTTCATGCCCCTGACCGAAGCGTTTCGTACGAAGAAACGCTACGCGGCGTGAATGACCTCTACAAGGAAGGTCTTTTGTGCGTATATTATCTTTTTTGTCGGGCTGTTTTAATCATTAAAGCTGAAAAGAATTACAGCGAAGAGTTTGGCTTGAGCAACTTCTATTCTTGGGAGGTCTGCTATTTCACTGCATTGCACCACTCTTCCACTTAATATGCTGCTCAGGTGGCAGAGATCGTGGCTATTGCTAAAGCCCATGAATGGATCCAACCCACTGTCTACCAAGGCCTGTACAATGCTCTCGAACGAAATGTCGAGTCCGAGTAGGCGACTTTCTGTCTCCTCCCCCTTTTTCATGCTAACCATGACTAAGGTTGTTTCCCTGCCTTCGTAAATATGGGATTCGTTTCCACGCGTCCAGCCCACTAGCGTACGTCTTCACCATGTTACATTTATATGTTAAGTTATATTGTATTGATGTAACGCATTTCATATTAAGTCGTGGTCTACTGGCAGGAACAAATATCTATGCTCCTACGCCGGGTAGTCGATGGGACAGTAGTAGTTCCACAATGGCAGAGGGATTGATATCCAAGTATAAGACATTCCAAGCCGCCTTTCAGGAATTAGGACTGTCATTGGTCAGTAGCCGCGTTGTGAGAATTTTAGACGTCACAGGACATGGCTTGATAATTATTGCAGGCAAGACACAACATACCTCTTGCTGAGGTAGCATTACGTTGGATTCAACATCACAGTTTCCTCAACCCAGGAGATGCAGTCATCATTGGTGCTAGCAGTCTTCAACAACTCCAAGCAAATTTAAAAGATAGGTATGTTGCTGATACAGGGGTTCTTTCGAATTCCTCACTGATAATTCTTACAATAGTGAGGGGGGACCACTTTCTGAGGAGGTGCTATCAATCTTGGATGAAGCGTGGATAACTTTTAAAGGCCATGCTCCTTCATACTTCGTTCAGTGGCCTCATATAATAGGACATACCTAGACTTGCATTCTTGGCAGCACTTTTAAGAGGCTTTCAGGTCTTCCAAATGGGGTTTTTGTGAGGACTATATTATATAACCCTGTAAAACTATATGGTACTTACTGTGTGATTAGGTAAGGGTAGATCTTACCTTTACACTATCATACTATACAGTGAAACAGGCTGGTGGTCAACTCAGTGTGTGTAATAAGTAAAGTGAGACAAAATACAAGTGCTTAGTCAACAAGATTAGCACTACAATAATTAAAGGAAATGAGTCATTGGTCTGATAGTATAACTGATGAGTAAAGAGAAATAAATAATCTTATGAGAAGAGAAAGAAGTGGTGCCAAAACCGTAACACATAGTATGATCAACCATTATCATAAAATGACAACATTACAGAAACATGGAATACATAGTCTTTGAACTATAATGAATCTATCAGCAGGCAAGGTATTGAAATTCCCTGTTGCACTTTGATGGTAATATATCTATTATCACATCTTGTAAGACCATATCATATATATTTTTTATATACAGTGACTCCAAAAATCCTTTCCATGTTTACTCTGGGTGTTATGCATGAAGCATACCATCAAACAACTTGAGTATTACACTCAGCTTTGGTGGAATTATGAATAGTATATACTCTTGGCTATAAAATTGCCTAATAGGTCATGTGATTTGGTTCACATGCTATAGAGATATGATTAATTTAAATCAGCAACACCATGTTTACCCACAACTAATTCAGTCCTATCTTAAGGGTAACCACTCCCCTCACTTCACTACCACTTGTCTGAGTTGTGCGCCAGAGTTTACAAACTCTTGGTTGTTACATTAGGACTCACTTTTTTTTATCTCTTGCACTTTGTGCAGACCTGGACCACAGGGTCAAGTGGACATTTTTCGAAAGATCAGACTTTGGTGCCAGTCTGGTGTTGAGCGTTTGCTAGCCTGTGTTACAATTGACGTACCAGTACCTACTTACACTTCACTTTTTTGTACTTTTACTTTTCATTTTCTAAGTCACATGACCAGTCATGTGACCATTGACTTTACTTTACATTTTTGGCTTTTCATAGTCACATGACCAGTTATGTGACACAATACCTGACCAGTGTCTAGACTCATCATGTGACCGGTCACATGCTAGGCATCAGACTTTAAACTTTATTTACAACTGTACGGTACCTCATGTATTTTAGTATATATACTGGAGCAATACATGGGGAGGGACTCAGCGAGTCCTCCTGTTGTCTACCAACAACTAACTTGTTCCTACCAGATGGGTAACCACTTCCACCTTCTTCCTCTTCTTTTGAGTGTTGTTTTCATTGTGCTCCAGTGCCCCAAGACTGTGTCTTGTTGGTGTTGTCACAGCCTGCAGAAACCAAATTTGTGCCCCAACCCTGCAAGCAAGCTCCTCAGGGCAAGATACTAGAAATAATCAAAACCAAACAATACACGGTCCCCAGTGTCAAGGGGAGTACCTTAGCTCAGCAATAGTGTGGAACTATTGTTGATTAGATTTACATACAAAAACTTCTTCTTTGGATACCTTTGACCAGGCCAAGCACATGCCTTCACCAGTTGGAGAAGGGTTGATAGCTTAACAAGTGGACCACCTGTGACAATTGTTTGGACCAGGGTTTATCACATTACTTTTTATATAAATTTTCAAATACTATAGTGTGGGTAGTCGGAGATTAAGATCCAATATCCAGCTGGGAAGAGGTTGATCCGCAGATAGCAAGTGGGGAGCCCCAGTTACATTTTTTTTTACCTTTACACATTCAAGTCAACATGTCGTCACAAAAACAGACGGTCAATGTGAATGCCGTCTTTTTGTCATATCCGTACTGAAAAACAGAACTCCGGTGTCTCTGAAGGAGATACTCTCTGAGTCCAAAGCCCCAAAACCATCGGCATACTTGGGATTACGTTCCTTGTGGTCTGCCGGTCAGCATAACTCTATGCCCCAGTTTCACATAATACTCCAGTCATCCACCCCAATACTCCTGCATCAGACTTTTAGTCCGCCATACATTTCTCCTTGTATATTTTAGTACTCCTCATGGACTCTGAGTTTAGACCTTATGATACACTCCCTGCACATATATTTCCTCTCGCTAGATAGTTGTCCGCATGGAACTCCGTACCTATATTATGCATTACTCCTTACGAGCCCCTACTCCTCTAATACTATATAAGTTGTAGCTCCTGTCCTCCATTCCTGCAGTTTGAATATCAACTGGATTCTCTTGCTTTCTCACCAGTCCTTTTCTAAAAGTCCTTTCTGATCCTTCTCCAAAGGATCTTTACTCTGCTCCCTTTTATCCTCTACCTTTTCTCCGTCCACTTCCAATGAGTTAGGGACCAAGGTCCGTGGAAGGGTCTAGTGCACAAGCTAAGCCAATTCCCCATCTTGTCCTCAGTACTCCGTTACTCCGTCCCTGTACTCCGCAGCTCCGTTACACCAAAGAGGCCATGGTTCTGACACCTTTACTGTATGTGGGAAAAGGTTACAAATCTCACCACACAACTTGAGGAAATCCCGAATGCACAAAGTGCTGGTATAGTTGAACAAAATATCAACAAAAAAGTTGAAATTTTCACTGACCCCGGCCCTTTTGAAGGTGACAAGGCGAGATTTGCCGAATGGTGGATCAAGCTCCAGATTCAGGTCAAGGCAAACTGGGATGTGTTCACTAACAATTTTGAAATAGTGACAACAGTGCTGTCAAGACTCAAAGGACCTGTGGTGGGTCAATACACCCAAAGCCAACTCTAGGAGTGTTACATAGCACAAACCTGGCCTATCTGGAAGAAAATCCAGATCAAAATTGAAAGATATTTCAAACCCCAAACTGAGCGTGACTGGGCGCGTTAGCAAATCTGCTCCTTCAAACAAGGAAACATGAGGATGGATAATTTATATACCTGGTTCCTGGCCCTCTCTATCCAAGGGGGTCTTGGCAACAAAAATGCAGTAGATCTGCTAGAACACAATGTGAACCCCCACATTGCAGAACAGCTCTATCTGCAAGATATGAGAAGCCAAGAGCTCTCACAAGTGGCAGAAGAAGTCCACAAAATTGGTAGGGCCATGGAGCTCTACAAATGCAATTTAGTGGCATGTCCACCACCAAAAGCAACTATGGTGACTCCAAAAACCATTGTAATATTTGGCCTAAATGCGGTGTGTGAAGCGCACCATCAAGAGGCGTGGAAATTTTGCTTAGCTTTGGTGGAGTCAACAAACATACTTGGTCTTGGCTACAAAATGGTTCCTGGGTCATGTGGTTTGGCCTAGCAGCTGTAAAAATATGTTCATTTCAAAATTGCAATATCATTAAAATAGTCTTTTTACTTTTGATATTAAGGGAGGGAATATCAGTACTTGGTATAGCCTCCTTTTGCTTTAAGCACTGCCTGAATCATCCTAGGCATGTTTTCAATTAAGTTGTGACACTCTGGAACTGCTATCTTCTCCCACTCCACTTGAATCCTCTCCCACAACTCCTCCATCCCATTAGGAGGGTGCTTATACTCTGCAAGCCTCCTCTTAAGATAACCTCACCCATGTTCAATAGTATTAAGGTCAGGAGACTGTACAGGCCACAGCATAGTTCTAAACTCCTGCTTATCTAGCCACTTCTTGACCTTTCTGCAGATATGCTTAGGGTCATTGTCTTCCTGAAAAATAATATCAGGGGGATTGAGACCATAATACTGTAGGGTGTTCAGCAGCTCATTCTTCAAGGTAAAGGTCCCCATCCATCCTACTATAAGTTCTAGCAGTATACCCAACTCCCTCCCAAGTCATACATCATAGAACCTCCTCCAAACTTGACAGTTCCCTGTACCAATTATCACCGAGCCTCACCTGGCTTTTTCCACGCCCACTTGTGTCCATCTGACCCCAGGAAATTGATTTTGATCTCATCAGATCATATAACCTTCTTCCAATCATCCATAGTCCAGTTCTTGTGAGCATAAGCAAAGTCCAATCTAGCCCTATAATGTTTGGCAGAGAGAAGAGGGCATTTCTGTTAGCCACAGCCTTTATGCCAGTCTTTTTTGGACAGTGTCTGGGGAGAGAGATTGGTTGATGATGATGGTAAGAACTTGATTGATCTGGACAGCATTTTCTGCCTTGCAAATAGAGATAAAATGCATGGCATAGTGGACATTGGCAGGAGAAAGCTTGGATCAACAACCTCTAACAGACTTTTAGAAGAACACTCCTTGGAGCAAAGCCTAGAGATGGTAGAAACATGAACACCAGGAGAGGCAATAGAGTGAGCAGTTTGACTTGCATCAAGGAGATTAAGGATCCGGTTCTCTTAAGTAGGAGAGAGGGATTCCATGATGATGGTGGTTGAGAATAAAGAAGTGTGTGAGCTTTTTTGAACTCAGACACAATATTTATATGTGTATCTTTGATTATAGGACCAAACAAAGCCAAACATTCTATGATATCATTGTGATATCTGCTCCCAACTCAAAAGTGAAAAAACTGTTGTGATGGTATTACTGTTTTAAAATGGACACATTTTCACAGTTGCTGGGTCAAATCATATAACCCAGAAACCATTTTGTAGCCAAGACCAAGTACTTTTGTCGACCCTACCAAAGCTAAGCGGAACTTCCATGACTGTTAGTGGTGCACTTTGCACACCATGTTTAGGCTAAACATTGCAACAGTTTTTGGAGTCACTGTATTCCCAGAGGCGCCCTGGGCCATCAAACAGACATCAAAATTACTCTTATGGGTTCAAGCTGTTTGGGCTGCAACCAGGGCAGGGTGCTCCTATGGATATTGGCGTGGCCCAAGGTGGACAGATGTGCAGATTCAAGGGCAACTATTACAACTGTGGCCAGGAGGGACACATGCCCTGAGATTGTAGAAATGGGGCACAGGCTGCCCAACCAAAAAAAATCAAGGGAATCAGGCACACTAATTAGAAACAGAAAAGCTGGACAATTGGCTCAATACTCTGGCCGGTTGTTTGTACGACAAAATCTGGGCCTTCTTTTACAATCAGCAAGTTGCTGAAATGAAGGCTCAGGGAAAGAGTTTGGAGCTTAGGTCACTTGGGTGCCTTTGCTCCTCTTAATAGTGAAGTAAACCACAACAAGGTGGCCCTTGCCCCAGAGTGTTGCACGAGCAATAAAAGGGTGGCTCCCCATTTTGTAAATAAATTTCTAAAGTTATTAATGTTACAATTTCTATCCTCTTTTACGGACTACTCATTTTCCTTTACTCATTGGTTATGCAATCAGACCGGTGACTCATTTCCTTCATGTACATTTCCGTTCTCTTTGCAGTTGCATTACCTTGTATAGTACTTAGTCCTCAACAGACGAACCTCCCCTAGATAGGACCTAATGTTACGCACAAAGTGCTTAACAAAGTCTGAGGATTTGTCAAGGGTTCAAAGAGACTTATCCGAAGACAAGTTCAAGGACATAGTTCTGAGTAGAGTTCTTCCAACGAGAGTTGGTCTTCTTCTGGGTAGAAGTCTGATCTTAGGAGTCTAGCTTTGTAAGTGTAAACTGAGTAGAATCGTATTGAAGAAATACTACTACTGTTACAAGGGTATTTATAGGAAGTAGGATCAGTGGAGTTAGGTCCTATCTAGGGGAGGCTTGCCCGTTGAGAGCTAACTACTATACTAGGCAATGCAGTCTGTGAAGAAAACCAAAATGTACGTGAAGGAAATGAGTCATTGGTCTGATGGTATAACCAATGAGTAAAGAAAAATGAGTAGTCCATAAAAGGAATAGAAATCGTAACACCTAACTCCTATTGCCGATTTTATTTCCTATAAATACACTTGTAACAGTAGTAGTATTTCTTCAATACAATTTTACGCAGTTTATGCTTACAAAGCTAGACTCCTAAAGATCAGATTTCTACTCAGAAAAAGACCAACTCTGATTGGAGGAACTCTACTCAGAACTACGTTCTTGAACTTGTCTTCGGATAAGTCTCTTTGAAATCTCGACAAACCCTCAGACTTTGTTAAGCACTTTGTGCGTAACAATTATCTGAAGTATATACTTGTATCCAGACATGTGATTGTAACATAGACGATAAAACCGCTGCACCAGCGTCTCCCTTGGAGTGTAGCCCCGGTGAGACAAATAATAGGGTGCTTGATTCTGGTAAAGATAAAAGTATAGAAAATACTAACATAGAAAAACATGTTTCTTTTGATATTTATTCTGCTTCTTCTTTAGAGCCACTTTCCACAGAAATTCCAAGTTGTGTGTTGATGCTCACACCTTTAAACTGAGAAAAAGACATATGATTCCCCTTTCTGCTACAGAAAGAGATGAGATTTCTGGTTTCCTTTGTCAGTCAGCTAGTAGATAAATTGGCTGGTGCATCCTAACAAAGATGGATCTCAGATGGGGGTATAATAATGTACACATCAAAGAAGATCCTTGGAAGACCACGTTCACGTGCCACTGAGGATTTTTCAAGCCCCTTGTTATGTTTTTCGGGTTGACCAATTCACTGGCAACCTTCCAGAGTATGATGAATGAAGTTTTTGTGGATATGGAAAACTGTGTTGTCATTTACATTGACAATTTATTTATATTTATAAAGTCGGACAATGAGGCTAAGCATAACAGGGTTGTGCAAGAAGTCCTTCAACACTTACAGGATTAGGACCTATTTGTCAAGCCCAGAAGATGTAATTACAAAGCAAAGGAAATAGACTTTCTCAGTATAATAATTGGCCAGAATAGAATCAGGATGGATCCTGAGAAAATTCAAGCTATATTAGAATGGCCAGAACCTACTTGCATCAAAGGAATTAGGGCCTTCCTTGGATTAGGCAACTTCTACCAAAAGTTTGTTGAAAACTTTGCAAAGATAATGAGACTGTTGAACGATCTCACAAAAAAGGACATTATTTGGCATTGGGTTGCCAAAGAACAAGAAGTTGTTGATAAGCTTAAACTGTTACAACCAAAATTTTGATACTCTGGCGCACAACTCAGACAGGTAAGTGTGAGGGAAAGAGGAATGGAGAAACTCCTTAAGGTAGGACCAAGTTAGTTGTGGGTAAACAACAGGGGCTGTTCTGTCAATTAAATGCCTATTTAGCACATAGTTTGTTGCCTACAGAGCACAACTATCAAATTTACAACAAAGAGATGCTGGCCATTATTGAAGCTTTAGAGCACTGGTGGCATTATCTGGAAGGTGCTAGACACCAGTTTAAAATCTAGACCAATTGTCAGGCAACAAATACGAAGCTATATAACAACAACAGATGTCTGGTCAAGTCCCTGAAGAGGGCGGTGAATCAGAGTACTGAGGTTGAAGAGTATCAGTATAAGCGCAAATCCAAACTAATATTGAACTAAGGAATAATATACCGAGTATGTACTTCCTTATATAGTGAACAGTGACGGTCAGACCAACCAACTAACAAATAAGAAAAGGAAGAGAGAAAGTGGTCTGATCTATCGTATTTACTAATTGTGTGAGAGAGAGTATTAGTAAGAGGTGTACAATTGGCTGTATCAGTAAGCCCATGAGAAGGCGCTGATTCATAGCCCGTCTTGCTTATCAATATTCCTCCAAAGTATTCCCAGACACAGTGTTGGATCATTGCTATGTCATCTGGATATCTTCTTGAGGGTCTACAACTGTTCTTCTTTATTGTAAGTACAACAGAATGTGAGTATGAATGGAAAATAAGAAGAAAAAGGATAAGAGTAATAGAATGCTGACCGTGATCTCTAGTCCAAGAGCGAGAGGAGTGACAGGGAATAAATCGGATAATCATGACATGATGGGAATGTGATAAGAAAAATTGATTCCTCACACCAATCATAAAAAGCTAGAGTATTTTATGATAGCCTGGGACTTGATCCAACAGCAAGCTTGCTATGCAGTATCACTTGACCAGCTCCACAATGTGAGAGACTTATAGCTAAAAATAAGAAAAGCAGCACAGTGCAAGAAAGTGGAGTTTTAGACAAAAGGGAAAGTGCTGTATGGCATAGTATGTGAAAAAGAAGAAAGTTGGATCAGAGAATAAAAGTTGAAGGTCCAAAAATTGTGTGTCGTAACAAAAGTACATAAAAAGCTGTCTTTGCTGTGCCATGGCAAAGAATTCTCATTAACTGCCGGTGTCATGCACCAAAGTTGATTGGTAGCATAGACAGGTGTTAATAATGAAGTGAATATCCAAAAGACTTGCCTTTACACCACACAGGCACAGTGCCACGTGGAATAGTAATTAATATTGCCTTTTTTGAACTTGTGACTGATCAGCACCACCTCTA